CAAGGGTAAGGTCTCAAAATGAGCTTATTATCTAGTGCTAGCTTGAAGCTACTGGAGTGGTTGCTTGGATGAGGACAAAAACCTTTAGTGGCTCCTTGAGAATTGTGGATGAATTATATTCCTGAAATCAGTGAAAGAAAATCACAAAATGGAGATGCAAAAGAGATCTATGGTTGGCACAGTTTGCCTGCATTTCCATGGTGAAGCAATGTTTTAAAAATCTTCCTTTAACAGTAGTGGAATCGCCTGCCCAGAAACATTTAAGCAGAAACTCACCTTTTCCACTCACAGTTAGGACCTTGTCTCCTGCAACCGGGCAGCTGCTGGTCCTAGTCCGGCTCTGTGGTCCCTATGAGTTTAGATTCCACAGTCCCAGGTTCGCCGGCTCCTCTGATGCTCTACCCAATGCAGACTGCCGATCTAGCTTCACCTGCAAAAAAACTCTCTCTTTCTCCTGCCCTTCCTCCACTGTGAAGAACAGATGAGGATTGGAAGGGATAAAGGAGATAAGGGATGAAGGGATAAAGCACAAAGATGGAAACAGAGAGGGAAAGAGAGAGACTGAGAGAATCAGGGGGAGGGAACGTGGCAGAGTGCAACAGGTAAACTGATTGGAAGAAAAAAAAAAGAGGTTATGAGGTCAAATGACAAAAGCAGGTGAGGAACCAAAGGAAGGCAGGAAGTTAAGTGAAAAATGTAGATGGAAACCTGAGGGATTTGAGATTTGCAAAGAAATTAAGTAATTTATTTTTCTTTCCCCAAACACACAAATGATTCTGAAGTAGATATCATTAATTCAAATTTCACAAAACCTTTGGAGAAAACAATAGAAATGGTTAAATGGGCATCATTGAATTAACTCAGGTGTTTTAACCATCATGTCCTTGCAGTCACTTGTGTTTTTTAGTTTTTCATGACTACTGGGGTTGATGGGACGGTTAGTTAGGAGCGGAGGTTGACAAGGGGCGAATTGGTTTGGCAGAGCTAATGAGCTGAGCCTGGTTAATCGGGGTTTTATGAGATATCCGGGGACGGGCAATCTCGTTAGGGAATTAGAGCGGGTCGGGCTAAACATGCGTCACACTTGACTTGCAGAGGTAGGGACAAAAAGTGGATCAAGAGTCAACCGTAGCATTGTGCCTTTTTCAGAAAACCTTCAGGTGATTTTTGCAACTAAAGAGATGCACTGCAACTAAAAGATATGCTCTCAGAGCCTGTCCAAAGTGATCAGGTCTTCATGAAAGGCTTCGTTGCTCCTATAAGCACTCCAAGACCGGTTGGCACCTGGAGAATGTAGAGGCCAACAGGAGAGCAGGCGACGAGGGCTTGAGCCATGTTCCGATGCGAAGTGGAGAAGGTTTTGGTTTGATCTTGTTTGGTCTACCCCTCTGGCATCTCGTAATCTGACTTGCAACGTCAGGAGGATTTGCACTCTTTCTTCCAGGAATTCTGGGTGGGCAAATTTAGAGGAGGTGGGGCAACTAATGGTAATTAGATCACCTCTTTTCATTAAAGTGGAAGGATGGAGGTCAGGACTGGGAGCCTGATGCATGTTTGAATTCTTGAAGTTTCATATAAAATATGATTTTCTGCCAATGGCTTCGATTCCAGATAAAAGTGCACAATTTGACTGAATATTTCAAAAATATGAAGCTAAAAAGAGGATGCAAAAAAAGCACATATTCTGGGAGCTAAATCTAAGAACATGTTTAAATGATTCCGTACTCATTGGACAATTTAAGCTCTAAATGAAACAAGTCTTTTTGGACCTATAAAATTTAATCACAATATTAATTTATATCACACATTTTGGGAAGTGCAATGCTGCGCTTTTAGATGAAGATTTCAATACAATCTAAATCTCTAAATTGACCCAACTCTGTTCAGAGATTTAACAATCCTGGGGATGGATGTGGTTTGGTGTTGAGTGTCAACCCCAGAGGAAAAGGTACAGACCCAATGATGATGCTGGTTGATGCTGATAAGAGAGACAGAGAGAGATTATCCACAGAAATATGAGTTTGGTGTTGACATGAACTGAAAGGCCGTTCAGAAAAGAAGAAGTCATCATCCAAAAGCAACAACAAAATCGTCTTGTAGAAATATTGAATAACAGCTGAAGGAATCATGAGGACCTCTGAATTAGTTGCACAGTGGTTTAAAGACAAAACATCTATGCTATGAAGTCATTATGACAAAAGGTCCGATTCAGTTTCACAACTATTTCATGATACAACAAAAAGACATGCCTGAATTTTGTATTTACTCTGGTTGTCTTTATACACCAGAACACTAGAAAATCAAGTATGGGCATCATCAGGTGAGACTAACTCTATTCTCTTGAAAGTGTTCCAGCTGGCTCTTTGTCTGCCTAAGACGTTAAAACACTTGTGAAATGTTTATCTCTTTCCTCAGGCTCACGTGATGCAGTCTAAAAATAAAACCTGCTGTAAGTCACACTAAACTCTTCCCGAATGAGAACTTCATGCATGTTTGTCTTTAGCATTAAGTTTAATCTGATCACAAAACCTTTGTCTCGGTGATGCACTTGCTGGTCTGATTGTCCCTTTTGTTTCCGTGTTGAACTGGAAATCCATCCAGAGTAAGGAAGGAAACTGAACCATCCCTCTGTGCTTTTCAGGCTCTGGATAAGTTGACTAACACAGTACATTTGATTTTTGACAAGCAAAACTTTATCATAATGGAGTATAGTAATCTGTCTCTACACCTTTATTATTCCACTTTGGGGAGAAAAAAAGAAAAATTCACAAGGAATGAAAATTGAACTTCTTTATCTTTTCACAATATTGGTGAGAGATGAAGTTGCTTAACTTTTAAAATGACATCACAGATAAGCTTTTATACCAAAGTAATGTAAAACACAAATACATAATGTACTTGGTAAAGCTACTGAGTATCTATACCAATAGGGTGTGATATAACAATAACATTATAGACTCTATCAAACATTTAATTCTTGGAAAAGACTACCCAGAGAAAATGAAGTTGGAAACCACACATCAGATACAAGTAAAGTTTTTAAAGGTGTCTCAGTTATTAAAAAGGCTAAATATTTCTTAGAAAATAATGCATAGCAAAACATCTCCAAAAACATGCTGGGAAAATTATACATAAAATAGAATCATTTGATCATGCCTTCCTTATTCTGGCAGTCCAAATTATAGACTTTTTCCTTATTTTGCAGAACCTTTTGGGGTCAAACTTCTATATAAAGCCAATAAAAACGCGCTATCTACAAATATTTAAAATATTTTTACACAAGGAGAAGAGGTTAAATGAGGTTAAGATGAAAGTGGTGTTTGTGTGTGTCTATCTGTGGTGTTAAACTCTGGAACCGATTGGGCACACAGCTCAAACAATGTCCACAGATTCTTCAGTTCAAATCAAGATATAATGGACAAGTAACAAGGCTGTTGGGAAGGGGGTCTGATGAGTCAGTAATGTGGGAGAAAATGTTTTTCTTCATCCTACGTCTTTCCAGCACATTATTTTGTTGTTCTTTTTGTTGCTGTTTTTCTTTCTGTATTTTACAGTACATTATATTTATTTTTTCTTTCTCTTTTTTCATACCAAGTGCAAAGAAATTCCGTCACATTGTGTTGTATTGGGTTTCTTATTGGCTTGGAATAAACAGTAAACAAACAGAGCAATGCTTTCTAATAGGAAGGTGAGATGTGGGTCAAATGAGTGCAGTGCCCTTAATCTGCTTGGTAAGCTAACAAAAAATAAAGTTTTTTGGGTGAAAGAAGATCATTGCATTTAATATCTACATTTGATCATTTTTTCATGTGAGATGTCAAATGATACTGTTCTTTCTTAGAGCAATGCAGTTTTATTTTTAGGTTTCTTAAAGCCATAGGCAAAAATTGCTATGCTTTCTTCAAGGTAATGTTGCTGACTCTCTGTTTTCTTTTGTCATTCGATTGACTGCCTGAACAGACATAAGAAAGGACAACACAGCATCCAGTTTTCTTAGGAGGAAATTTGCATTGAGGAAATTCATGCATCAATTTTAGAAAGTTTTTAGACCTCTTTTTTTTTTTTTTCAAAAAACATTGTCAAATAATTTTCTCCCTTAGTTACAGAGAAAGCATGAACGAAGCAAACAGTAGGTGCTGTGTTAAAAGTCCTGTTGCAGTGATGCATTTCTCATTACAACAAATCTGAGCACAATTTCCAGAAACAGAACTGAAATGGAGATTTCCTGCTCTATTTGTTTCACAGTTTGAGTGAAGAGCCGCTGTGCTGCTCTATCCCACTCTCCTGCAGTAAGTCTCAGGCTGTAATCCAGGCTAATGAACTGGGACAGAAGAGGGCTATCTTGCTTCCTGGTATCTCTCAGTTGTAACGAGCTCAGGAGCAAAACCCTGCACTCTAACTCTCTCCCCTTTTGGCCTCTTCATTCAGTGAAGCTCTTAGTCCACTTTGAGAACACAGAGAGAGGACAGAGTCACACGGAAAACTGGATGTAGAGGGATTTAGATTTGTTTTGTGTAAGCAATAAGCAAGTGGGACTTTAAAGAAATGAAATATCACTTACCTGCTGTCTCATGCAGTCATTAACTAACCTAAGTTATAGTTTTGGACTGTGGGAGGAAGCCAGAGAGAACCTGTGGGATTCAGGGGCAGGACATGCACACAGAAAGACCCGGGCTGGGATTTGAACCCAGGACCTTCTTACTGCAGCACCAGTTGACTGTAGTTTTTTTTTAATGTAAACTACAAAAAGCAAAACATGATGGTGATCTCAATAAACATAATCACATAAACATGGACCATGTCTGCATGTTAACTTCTGACATGCACTGCTCTGAACCATGATCAAAATCAGAACCAGTCAGCTTTATTGTGCACATAAACAAGGCATTTTCTAACTTGTTCTCAATGTGCAGAGATTTTACATATAAATATATTAATTTGAAAATAATGAGATTAATGTCCGTCTTTTTTAAAGACTAAAAACAAAGGACTAGTGGTGTTGTTAATGAATGAACCCAGTTTATTAGTTGGAGCTTGAGAAGCCTAAGCAAATTCACAAAGGTACCTGTTGACAGTTTGCACTGCCACCTGCTGGGAGTGACCGGAGTAGAAAATTGAGCCCCTGAATGTTTAGTGTTAATTTCCTTTTTGGAATAACTGTATTTTTTGTCATACTTAAAACAACTCCTTTCATATTTTTTAAACTTGATTAAAACATGAATATGGCCATATATAAAGTCAAAAATAGGTTTTTGGATTTGCTTATTGATAATGGAAGCAAATGATTGATTAAAAAAAATACAACACATCATTTCAGTAAAGGGTTTTACATTGTTCATTAAAATCTTCATTTGCAGCATTATTATAAAAAGTAATAAACTGCCCTTGACAAAAACAGATAAACAGATAAACATAGAACCAGAGGTAAACAAACCACTAGATTTAACGGCAGACTAGAAACTATAGCACAGATTTAGTTTATTTGTGTTAATCTGATAAATTGCTGAAACAACAACAGGTCAAATACAGTTAACCTGAAAAACATTGGAAATTCACAAGATCCCTTTTACACACATTTTAATAATTTGAGTGATTTAATAGTGATTAAATAGTGGTTTAACTTAATCCTGCAAAATCTGCTGCTGATTCTTTCAAATGATCAGAAATGTTGGCATCTTAAAGTGCATTCTAATCAAATACAAATTAGAAATTACTGAAATTACATAAAATCCCACACAAACACAACCACAGATACACCAATTCTATATTCCAGTAAAACAACCTCTTTGTAAAATAAAACGACCAGCTGACTCAAGGTCTCACTTTAGCCAGTCTTGTTGGTAACATCTCACTATTGTGTGGTACCGCCCATCTCCTTCTCGCAAATGTAGGGCAACACCATGCTGCAGGGGGCATCGTACCAGCTCTTTGTCGCCACACGTTCCATCACCTGCGTCTTGACGATGTAACCGCAGTCCTCATTTATGTGGTTATTGGGCTCGTTTTCCTCCCAGAAACTTTTGCGAAGAGAGACAAAGATAAAGTAAGCTCTTTAGTCGATAACATTACACTTAACAGGTACAAGCAACTGGTGAAAAGCAACATGTTTATTTTTCCATAATAAAAATCTACTACTATGCTGTGTGTTTGTATTCTGCCACTGTATCATGGAAAGCACTTTGAAACTTGAACTTTAACCTTTGGTGAAGGTTTCAGAGATTTGCTAAAGAACAACAGCATGAAAGAAACACACCAAAAGAGAGTTCAGTAAAGAAACTTTCACACTTAAATCAGGATTAAAGAATTAAACAACACCCCAAGGCGTGAAGATTTTTCTGAGCACTGATGGATGGCGCTAAAGAGAAGACAATCTGTAGATAAGATGGAGGTAAATTGAATGGCTAAGAATGGCCAAGTCAAAGTCTAGACCAATAAGACAATTTTATGTTCCAAGGCACTTCTTGTGGTTGAACTATTTTGCTAAGAGGACTGTGCACAGCAGGTGCAGGGTACTCTAAAACACTAGAGCAGACATATACAAATGAATACAAAATCAAAAACATGCACAGTTTTTAAATTAGCAACTATCCACTATTTTGTGTTGCATTTGTGTCACATAAACCCTAATGAAATAAATGCATAAAAGGTGGCAAAAAAGGTTTAAAAAGTGTTAATTTGTTTGCAAGGCATACCAAATAATAATGATGAATAAAATCATAAAATCTAAATCATCATAAAATTGTATGGTAACCAATAAACAAAATGGTACAAATTGAAGTGATTTCAACATATATTTGTCCATTTAGAAGTTTGGAAATAAACAGCTGCAGTCAGCATAAAAAAGTGGTGAACTCTGCATGAAAGTTTGAAATGGAGCAAAACACTCAAATGGAAGGAAAAAAAAATAGAGACAAAATATACAGAGGGGAAAAAAAAGAGGAACATCAGGAATGTAGGTGACAATTGGGGAATAACACAAGTTTGTGACTTTTAAAATGAGGAACGGAAATCAGGAGCTTCTTATAAAATATGCCAAGTTGGCAT